CCACCACTTCCACCACTTCCAACACATACCTCGTCCTGAATGGCCTTCAGCAGTGGTTTGGGAGTCGACACCAATATATCGCAACCATTCATAAGACTTATGTACTGTTTGTCGGCATTGGATGAGTTCAACGACACGATGCGCACCGTCTGTCTACCGGCGCTCACGTCGATGTCCCGCCAACGCTTGGCCTGTTGTGCGATCTCATATGTCTGTCGCGTGGAACTACACATCACTATCGCGCCGATACTCGTCCTCTCGCTACCGGTGCTGAAACGGCTGTCCATATGTGCGGCCGGTTTGTCCAACTCATACATCAATGGTATTAAAAAGGCGTTTGTTTTGCCACTCTTTGGTCGGGAAACGCAGCAAACGCTGAATCCCTTGAGAATCGTTGGCCACAAATGCAACTCAAGCCTCACGTCTCGACAGTCGAGGCGTTTGAGTCGCGCTAAGAACCACCGGTCGAACCCATAGGCCTTCTGACAGCTTAGGTAGCCTTTGGGCGCCTGTATTGGCGCGTAGTTCACACACGTGTCCGACGGCTCATCGAAATCTGCGGTGAGAAGACAATATCATTACTGAACCCATGGATCAGTTTGGCAGCGATTGGTGGACACCATTGCGGACCTAATTTGTATCCGATGTCCAAGAACTCCGATAAGTCTTGTTTTGGTGGCAAAAACACATTCGGTTTCCACTTCTTGGACGCCTCCTCATCCATGCCATCAATCTCTTCGATGTCATTATCGGAACCGTTACCACCAGACGAGTGGTCCGACTCGACCTTCAGGTTCAGTATGGACTCCACCATTGACTCCACCTCATAGTCGGTCATGTCTTCAGACAAATTGCGACCCTTTTTGTGGTCTCTGTTGACCATCATATCGACGAACCCCTCGTTGTATGACTCGAGAGGAATGGTTGGCTCAGTAGACCTGTTGACACGATTGCGGCGCTCGATGTCCGCCCGATCGCACAGGTCTTCGCCCATGAAATGTGTGGCCAAACGACTGCTCGACAGGTATCTCATCTCATCGGCGCTCATCGGTGTCTCGTCCTCTGTGTCCACCAAATCTATCACTTCTGCGCCCTTCTTGGCGCCCGGCGAAGACATTGCCATCACTTTCACAACAATGGCTCAACTCTTATGACAATTATCTCTTGAAGTGGTAATCAGTATATCGTTTGTCACTCTCTGCTGACTCTGACTCTGACTCTGAGTTTAAAAAGTGATGCAAACGTGCACTCAGTTTATGGCCATTACTGTAACCACACGTATGACAGCCATTCAGTCACTGCGTTCACTGCTGTAGATAATGAGTGCATTGGGTTAGCATTGGGTTAACACCTCCCACCCCCTCTATAGTGTGTTGAATGCCATTTATGACAGACTCAGCATTGGTTGAGTCAATGGCTAATACATGTCTAATTAATTTCAATGTTGTCATGTGTTTGCCGCTCATTATATAACACAATAAATGATGTCTTAATATATAAAACATTTTGAATGTAATTAAAACATATTTATTATATTTTTGTGATTTAATTGTCAATTGAATTTAATTAAGAGTTTTGATAATTAGTTTGTAATTGAATTACAATTGGTCTACATTTATATGAAAGAGATTTTTATAAAGTTTTGTTTTATTAAACGTCACGTTATTTATGAGTAAAGTATTCAATGTTTTGATTGCTTTTCACAAAACAGTTGACACACAAAGCGGTCCTCAGATTAAGACATTTAGACATCACTTGAAGGCATCCAAACACATCCAACACATCCAGTGGTGGTCTGTCTGTGCATTGA